CCATTGAGTTAAATGGTTTTTTAGAATTTTATAACAAAAAAAAAGTGTGGGATCTGATACAAAACCCATGGTTTTGTAGTCCTACAAATCTAATCTAATGGTTGTAATTTGAAAGAAAATATTTAGGTTATTTGGATGATTAATTGTAACCGATCAATTTAACTTTAATTGTCTTATTTTAAGGGTTTTTTGGGTGGATCAATTGAAAACGAAACAATTTGGCCAATTCTCTCATTTTACCAAATGAGTCCATTATAATTGTCTGCCCCACCCTAGACATTTGTAATTGCCTCAAAACGAGTCAATTTGAAATTCCTCAGTCAAAATTGCTTCAACTAAATTTTGTGTTGCCAAACAAATCAGTTTGACCAATTGTCTCAAAACGAAATTGGGTCAAATTGATCCGTTAGAATTCCTCTTCCATACGACCCCTGAGACAATTGGACCAAATTGACCTGTTTGCTAGCAGAAAATTTGGATGGATCAATTTGTCTGGAGAATTTCGATTTGACCCGTTTTGAGTCAATTGTCTGAGGCAGGGGCAGGTAATTCGAATTGTTAGGGTCGTTTGGTTAGATCAATTGTAAAACGAGACAATTTGACCAATTGTTTCATTTTACAAAACGAGTCAATTCAGATTACCTGCCCCCACCCCAGACAATTGTAATTGACTAAAAATGAGTCAATTCAGAATTCCCTAGCCAAATTGCTTCATCCAAATTTTCTGCTACCAAACAAATCAATCTGGCACAATTGTCTCAAAATGAGACAATTGTGTTAGATTGATCCATTAGAATTCCTCATCCAAACGACCCCAACTTTTAATTGACTCGTTTCATAAAATGAGACAATTTATCAAATTGTCTCATTTTCGAATTGATCCATCCAAACGACCCATAATTGTTCATATCATAGAAGGATAAGGAGAGAAATAAGGGATTTTAGGGGAGCTGACCATATTTTTGGGTGCAGCTGAGCGAATTTGGGTGGGTAAGTGCGGATTCCTATGTGGCTTCGAAGCCACTTTTCAAATTGTCTCTGAAAATCCAACGGACAGTAACTCATTCGTTTAACATCGGATTTCTAAAAAATTTGCACTGAAAAATCAGATATTTTGTGTTTGCTTTACAAGATGATATCAATTTTGATATTTTTAGAATTTTTGTTTACTTCATCTTATTGATGTCATATCATGATTTTATCACTAACAGTGGCATGATGTTGATATGACAGTGGTATAGTGTTAATATGAAATTTGTATGCTAATGATATGATGTTGGTACGAGTTCTTATATTTGTCAAAATAATTTGATGACATCGTGAGTGTCATATCATGATATTATCATTATGATATAATGATATGACAATGATATGATATTTTATGTTTGGTAAAACATAATAAAATAGATATCATTATATATATTTTCATTAATATGTTCTTTCTAAACAATGTTTATCAAAGTATGTGTCAAAAAGAAGGAGATGGATCATCATACCACTGTAATATCATGATGATACCAAAGATTATGATAATGATAAATAGTGTACATGGGTCGGGTGGTCCGGGTTTAGACATTTTAATCACCCGACCCATACACTATGGTTTGGGAAACAGTAAACCCATGCCCACCCAAAAAAAAAACCTACGGCTTGTTTCTAATTAGGTTGGGTCGGGTTTGCGATATTTTCAAGTAAAAACCCAACCCAACACAAAATATGTAATTATTCTACACCATAAAAATATTTTATAACTAATTAAAAATTCAAACGAATAAAACCGAGGTGAAATGTATCAAAATCACAAATGTTGTTTGACTTTAATAAAATTTGATCTACTTCAACTTATGTCTAGTTATTTTTCACGATATTTGTTGAAATAGGCTAAAAAGGTTATAAATGAACGCATACATAATATGTTATCCTATTAAAATTTTACACATGAAAAAGGATTACGTGAATCATAACTATATTAAATTTATGTCTAAACTTTAAGTCGAAGAATGCATTAGATTAGTGAGACCATGAGAGAAAAACATGGCGAAATATCTTAATTTTCTCATAAGTATGGCTATATACGACATAAATATTTTTTTGGATACGAACTCATACCAATAATTGGAACATGGGTTGGGTCGGGTTCTACGAGTTGTGTAATCCAAAATCCAAACCCAACCCAAAAGAGGCGGGTTGTACAAAACAAAACGATCACTCAATCCAAAACCTTCGTTTTAGTGATAAATATGGGTGGATTGAGTCGGTTTGCGGGTGTGTTTGTTCACCCCTAGATAATACTACAACCGACACGTATTTCGAAGAGGTAATTTTTTCTTTACTCAAAATATAACAAAGTGGATAGCATTGTGTATATCATAATTAATACGTTCTTTCTATGCAACTTTTTTTAATTCAAAGTTAAAACAAATGCGGGTTAAAGACACATTTGGTCACTGAGATTACAAAATCGGGACATGTTTAGTCACTAGAAAAATTTAATATCAAATTTGGTCACTAAGATTACTAAAACTGGACATATTTAGTCACTCGCCGTTAGTCTCCGTCCAACTCCATTAATTAAGTCCGTTAAGTGCTGATGTGGCAAACAGAATTGCCTAATCAGCCGGATATAACCGAACAAAAATAAAACCCGACCCGCCACGTCATTAAAACCAACCCAACCCAACCCATGACCCAACCCCACCCAGAAAACCAAAAAACCCCATAACCCAAAAAATCTGAATCCTTCTTTTCTGATTTCTCCCTTCTTCCAATTCCCCCAAAAAAATCTAGCCCTAACCCAGCCGCCGCCTCACTTCTATCGTATGCCCAGAGGTCCGGCGACACCCCCCGAAACCGAACATGGAAGCTGCCGGCGGGAATCTCGATCTCAATGACACCGCCAATTCCGCTCTTGTCGATTCCTTCTGCGAGATCACCTCCTCCACCAGGCAGGAAGCCGCTTTCTTCCTCGAGAGCCACCAATGGGATCTCGACGCCTGCGTCTCCACCTTCCTCGACAACGATAACGCCGCTGTCGCCCCTTCTTCTGCTGTTCCTGCTGCTCCTCCGACTGGTGGTGGTGGCGGCGACACTCCTTCTCCGACTGATTCGTCGGACGAATCGATGTCTCCTAACTATTCCCCATCTCAGAAACCACTTACGTTTACGGTCGGGGAAGAAGAGAGCCGGAGCGCTACAGGGGGAAACTGAACTCGCGCAATGGGGGGGATCGATTTTGGGTTTTGACCAGGGCTGTCAGCGCGCGATGAGGAAAGCTGACTCCGTCGCGCCCTGGGGGAAGACGACGACGGAGAACGACGAAGGTGGATTTGAGGGTTTCGCCTTCTACTGCGATGGCGGAAACTGACGGCGCGCGGCGACGAAGAAGAAGAAGAAGAAGAAGAAGAAGAAGAAGAAGAAATGCAAAATGGAAGGAGGATCTGGGGCAAGGGGGTAGCGTGGAGCTCTTCATCTCTCCCTGGAGTTCGATTGAAAATGGCTGAACCTAGAGGAAGGAGCAGGTTTGCGAGGAAGGAGAAGGGTTTTGGTCTGAAAATGGCCACTAACCAGATGATTTTCCTTTTTTTTTTTTTTTTTGTTAGGTGGGTTAGAGTTTGGTTTTGGGTCAGGTTGGGTTAATGGTTGAGTTGGTGTATGACATGGCGGGTGAAACTGACGTGGCGGGTCGGGTATGATGATTTTTGGGTCAAAACGATGCTGATTAGGCGCATCCGTTAGCCACGTCAGCACTTAACGGACTCCACTAACGGAGTTGGACGGAGACTAACGGAGAGTGACTCAATATGACCTATTTTAGTAATTGTAGTGACCAAATTTGATATTAAATTTTTCTAGTGACTAAACATGTCCCGATTTTGTAATCTCAGTGACCAAATGTGTCTTTAACCCAAACAAATGCCATAGAATCCAATTAAAAAATAGGAGATTAGAAAAAGTATATTCTCACTCTTCTGTATCCGTGTCAAATTGTCAGTAAAAAAAGAAGGTAAGGGTGAGGAAATACCAGTTTGCCCCTCTGGTTTTTTTTTTAGAATTAATTTGATTCCCTATATGGAGAATGAGATGGAGGCTGGATGATGGGATTTTTAGTGGTTTTGTAGGATAGGGTTTTGTACCCTAGCATGACGGTTAGATTAATGTATGATAGTGGAAAGATAATACAAGTACAGTGCTAAAATGACAAAATATAGCAAAATGGTTACCTTTAAGTAGATCATAACTAATATTTATTTCTAAACAAAAAATTATAAATATCAAATTAAAACGAATGGGTTATGATTCAATTAAGAAAAATGAGTTATTACGAAAACATACTTTTATTGGTCCAAAATCTTTTTTACAATCCATGTATAGAAGGAGAGAGAATAATGAGGCACAAATATAGCGAGATCTTCATTTTTCTTTTACATTCATTTTTTCTTTAAGAGGCGACTATAATGGGCATGCACCAATGATTATCCTAGTACATCCGACATTATCGTTTGTGGACCACAACATAGGAGTAGGAAAATAGAAGAACGCAATTGAAAGAAATTGGAGGCAAAGGCTCACACATGCACAAAAGGAGCTACCACTTCACACTTTAGAACATACAAGTAGTTGGTATGTTGGATCAAATATGGTTGGGAGCATTGATATCTTAGATTGCCTTAAGATGATATCAACTACGAATGGAGATCTAGAATTTAGAGCATTCTCTAATTCGTTTGAACATTAAGTGGTACGATAACCTCTTTCTTTATTTTCTCTAGAGTTATCTTCATTTGATTTTGTATTTTTGGGTTAGGAGATTGTATGGTGTCATTCTTGTTCTTTTACAAATCAAGGGGAAAAAATTCAATCATGATGAGTTCAACACGTAATTGTTGTAGCTGTATCCTTAAGGGAGAAAAAAATTGGTCACGAACTCCGCATGTGGTGCTTGATTAAATAATACTTTGAAGACAAATTATATGATGAGGAGTTGAAAAGCTCCAATAAACAAGCCAAAAACATTCCTTTCAGTGTCACTCCACTTCCTCAAACAAACATACACAACCAAAAGAACACTTCAAAACTGTCCCAAAATCCCCCCCAGATTTAACTCTAAATTAATCTCAACCCAATCTTAACTATTGCCCAGTGGCGCCTTCTCCATCATTTTCACTTGGACTCTTTCGTTTCCACTCCCCTGCCATCTCCTTCCCCTGTTCTTTCCCCTGTTTTCTTCCCCACCAGAACCTAACATTTAATATATAAACATGGTCATATTACCATAAACAATGAATCAAATTATTCAGCAAGGCCGTCTACTTCTTGTCCCTATACCATTCCCTAATCCTTAATATATTTGTTCTTGCTCCTGATTACTGTCGACGACTCTGTTTTGGGGGAACAGGAGCAATGAAAACTGGAGGAGAAGTGATCATAGTTGCAGTCGACGCCGGGAAAGAGATCACCGACTATGCAATCGACTGGGCACTTAGAAATGTTAGCAGAGCCTTGGATTCTCTTGTCCTTCTGGCTCTCCTACCTTCCCACGGCAGCGAGGCGACCGCCTCCCCTGCCTCTATCAGAGGACAGCAGTCCTTACATGGTAAAATCAATTCGTCACAATAATTCGAGTTGTTGAATAGGGATTCTGAGTCTCGGTGGTTTAAACATGGTTTTATTAATATTTGCAGGATTGGTGAAGAAATGGGTAATGAAGAAATGGTACAGAGAGGAGAACCCAGGTATGCAGGATTCGCTGATGCAGGCAGTTCAGCAGGAAGAGGCTCGCAGGATCAACAAGGTCTGCCTCGATATGATCCGCCATCTCTGTCGCGTTCACAAGAAGCAGGTAACAAGCAGTGTCTTAATTTCAATTCCGACTCCACATATCAGTGAAATTTGTTTTTCTAATGCTTACCTTTTTCCAGCTTCAAATCCAAGTGAAAGTTATAGCCGATGCACAGTTCGGCTCGGTAGCTTCTTCGGCCAGGGAGCTTGAGGCAACCTGGGTAGTTCTCGATAGGTCTGTTTCTTCCCTTTGATTGAGTTCATTTTCTCCTTTCGGTTTCTCCCACTAGGAGTTAATCGTTCAAGTTCCTCTTGACTGTGGGACGGAATATTGATTGCCTTGCTCTCAGGCGGCTGAAGAAAGAAGGGGATTGTTGCATGAGGCAGCTGAAGTGCAACATTGTGGTGATGGAGCATTCGGTTCCAAAAGTTATGAGAACCGCGGTGAATCCTAATCGGACAAGGAGAAGGCACAGCATGTGCGGTGACCAAATTGATCCAGCCGCCTGCAACAACATGATAATGGGATTGCCCTGCGGCGGGTGCAATCTTACTGCTAGCACCAGCACTGCAACTACCCTAACTAGCTTTGGAAGGGATAGTGATGCATTTACTTCTGTGGGTTCACTAGAAAGTCCAGAAGAAACCTTTGCGGGCAAGAAGAAGCCATCCGAATCACATGGCGCTTTGCTCCATTTGAATTCGGAGCTTGTCCAGAAGGAAGTTGAAGTTCAGGTTGCACTCTCCAAGTCACCTCAAAAGGACAAGCCACAGGAGTTATGCAGTTCAGATGTTCTCTCTTCCAAGCTGCGAGCTTCCAATGGCAAGATCAAGAGCCATAGTGGACTTCTGAATCCCCAGAAAGGTACAGTAGAACTGTGCAGATGTAATTCATCTTATCGTTTAAAGCTCTTTCATGGCCTTGCTGGGATGTTGATGAAGTATCGTTTTATCCGGGTTCAATGATTCAGTTCTGGAGAAGGTTGAGAGCATTGACGGAGCTCGAAGAGTTAAGGCACCGATGAGAAGGTCATTCGATGGACCGGTCATAGTGAGGTATCCGGAGAGCTTGAAGCCGATAAAGCAAGGAATCACCAGGAGGAACTCATTGACAAACAGCATCAGAGGGGAAGAGATGCAACAACATCCCGAGGTACGTGTCGATGGTCCTTCCAACATTGAAGAGAGAACCTCCAGCATCCGGAGGGCAATATCCATCACCATCAAGCCACCGCCAATTCCACCCCCATTGTGCTCCACATGCAAGCACAAGGCCCCGATTTTCGGGAAGGCCCCCAAGAAATTCACCTACGAGGACATTCGAGCAGCAACCGATGGGTTCTCGAGAGATAACATAGTTGCACAAGGAGATCATGGCTCGGTCTACACAGGGAAGCTACCAGACGGGCAGGCAGTCGCAGTGAAGCAGTACAAGGCGCTCACCGCACAGAGCGCCTCAGAGTTCTGCTCTGAGGTCGAAGTGCTGAGCTGTGCTCAACACCGCAACCTCGTGATGCTGCTTGGGTACTGCATCGAGACAGAGTGGCTTCTGGTCTATGAGCTGGCTTGCAACGGCTCGCTGGACCATCATTTGTACGGAAAAGAAGAGGTGGAGGATGAAGATGTGATGGCATGGGAGCACAGGATGAAGGTTGCTATAGGAGCTGCTAGAGGGCTGAGATACCTCCATGAGGATTGCAGAGTTGGCTGCATTGTTCATAGAGACTTCAGGCCTCAGAATATCCTCCTTACACATGATTATGAGCCCATGGTAAGCTGTCAATATTTCAACACAAGTCATATCTTGCTCATGAGTTGTGGTTTCAGATAGAGACTGACAAACTTTTGGGCATATGTAGGTGGGTGATTTTGGGCTGGCGAGATGGCAATCAGATGGACAGAAAGCTGAGGAAACCAGAGTTATAGGCGCAATTGGGTACTTCTCTGAAAAGCCAACATTTGAAAGTTCCAAACTTTACCATCATGGCATCTCAACTGTGTGTGTGTATGTGCAGGTATTTGGCTCCGGAGTACACTCAAGCTGGACTCATAACAGAGAAAGCTGATGTCTACGCATTTGGGATGGTGCTTTTGGAGCTTCTGTGTGGGGTAAAAGCACCAGAATTCTCAAGAAACATGGGACAACAGTTCCTGCTCGAACTGGTAAAGCACCTTATGAGATTCTTCTTTCACATTCACAAGGTTGATCCTTGAAGGGCAAATTTTCGAGCTTCTCAAGGCTTTATGTTTGCATCACCAGCTTTCATCTTTGTCACAGGGGCGTTGGCTGCTAGACAGAGAGGTAGTGAGCGAGATTCTGGACCCTCGGCTGAATGACAGCTACGTGGAGAAGGAAGTGAGGAGCATGATCTATGCTTCCAGCCTGTGCCTATCACCAAACCCTGAAAAGAGACCCAGAATGTCCAAGGTAAATTGTGCACTCCAAAAACCCTAAGTTTTATACAGACAGACATTACAGTATTCACCATATGAACTCAAATTTTGCCCTTACAGGTTCTGAAGATCCTGGAAGGAGACATACCTTCACATCCAGAGCCAGTGAACGTCATTGTGCAACCGCCAACAGTGTATCCAAACCAATTCGTCAACATGATCTACGGTTCAGAGACACCAGTGTTCTCGAGGGCACTGAATCAAGCATCTTCCTTCAAGAAGGCACCACACTGGCGGCGACACTCGACTATCGCCGGCAATGAGAACCAGGGCAGGCTTGGGACTCCGTCGGCGGGCCGAGCAGAGGATTTCCGGCAAGCTGAGATGGATTTCAGCGGCGAGTATCGGGCGCATTTAGAAGGGTCGCTGGCCAAATTCTTCGAGGGGTTGAACCGGCATGGGAAAACTGCTTCGGACGAGCCTGCTGTCGTGTAGATTCAAGGAAGTTGAGGGGAGATGGGGGGCGGCGAAATTTCGGTTTGTTGCAATCGATTTTTTTGGCTTTAATTTCTTCTTTGTGGAATGTGGTTTGTTGTGACTACTTCCCCATTGATAAATAGGAGTGGGGTTGGTGTGTATACATATCCAAATTGAGTTCAGTCAAAAAAATTATAAACTGAGTTTTGGATTTCATTTTTTTTAATCAATATAGGTAGAATTATGCGTATCACAAAATCAAAATGAAATATAAAAAGAATGGTTGTGTTGTTATGTTATAATGTTGTCAAATTGATTTATATTGTTAAGTCGGTTTGATAATGGATATGGTATGATTCCGACCAACGGTATAATCGATATATGTCAGTTCATATTGGTTATAGCAAAATATGTAGGAATTGGGAAATCTACTTATATATAACATAGTTAGGCATATATAACATATTTGAAGACAATCTCTCTAAAAGCTACATTCATATTTAAATTAAATACAACATTACAAACAAAAAGAAGAAGAGGATCAAGCTACTGGTTACCCGCCCTTGTTTCCTGATGATGTGCATGTGGTGATCATATCGTATCTAGTACAAGCTAACTATCAAACCCCATATCCCTGATAACTTCCCTAGCATTGTCACCACTAGTGCGAGGCTCCACAATAATAGTCACATGAAGCATATGTTTTCTCCTATACTCATTAAAGACATGAAGAAACCTTCTAATACTCACTCACCTATAATTCTAAACAAATTTTTTGTAATTCATTGCAAATAGGAGAGTAAAAGATGACTCCCTTTGACGAAAACTCAGGATGAGGTGGTCTCATCCCTACTCTAGGCGGCAAAAGGATTTAGCGTCGTGCCTTGATTGGTTGCCATCAATTGTTCAACACTAACGTCGAATTTTGATGGTCTTCCTTGCACTGCGGTGATGAGAGTTTTGTTGTTCTCGTCTAGTTGCATTGTGACTGTGACATCAATTGGCGTGTCTGTATCTCCCTGGTGGCCATTAGAACACCCTCTGCTTCCTGATGCCGACTCGAAACCTTTTCATATTAAAGCCAGGGGCCGGTGAATCCGAAGAGTGATCCTTTTTTGCCGCCAGGCTTGTAGTAGTACTCATGTGGCTAGTTGCAGGAATAGTCTGTCATTTGTCTTTTTTGATTCGTTTTGCTTCTAACAGCGCGGTTAATTTGCATAGTTGAATTATGCTTTTAATTTGCCGCGGTTGCAGCATTATTGATTGATTTCACTACCTTGTCACTTTCCCTAGAATGCTCGGGGTGGAAAGTGGGAAGTTTCCTCCCTCACCTCGTCATCAGCCAAGGCATGGAAACGTCATCCCAAATGTACACCTCTAAGCCCTTGAGTGGTTTTAGTCTCATTCTACCAAGCCTGAAAGCCATTATCTTTATGGGTCGGTCGTAGTTTACGCTTAGCAATCATCCACTCCCCGTATACAACTCTGGCTCTAGCTCTTTTGGTGTCTGCTGCGCCGTAGTGTTATCAGTCTCCATGGTATCGTCTGGTGTCACACAGAAATTATGGACTCTGTCAAAGTATTTACCACATTCGAGACAAATTTTCTCAGGTTCCTCGTATAAAATAAAATATTATACCACGTTAGTCTTGAATTGTGAAAGTAGTGGTTTAGTGAGGCCAATATGCACACATACTCTAGCATAGTCAATTCTAAATCATATGTACTAGTCGCTTGATCAACACGAAGGGGTTTCCCAATACGTTTTCCAATCTTCATTGTTGTGTTCGTATGAAAGTATTGAGCTCGGATATCTAGCAGCCTTGCCTAGACAAGAGTTTATGCGACCTCGTAACAGTAAGGGTTAAAGTGCATATCCCATGCGTGAATTGTTAAATAGTGGTCTCCCACCATCCATTGCCCTACCATTGCTGCTCTTTTGTAGTCAATTCCACTAGTTAAACACATGAGGAAGTACCTATCCTTGGCTTACATGACTTGGATGCTCCTTGCATGTGCCCACATTGCATTCAATCTGCGAAAAATCATTTTGTAGGACGAAGATCACCCAAGCGCTTTCACGACTAAGGTGTATCGGAGCTCTCTGCAGAACCTACGTTCTTCTGCTACCGTAAATAGGATTGAAGAGCATAAGTGTTCATCATCTCCCTCGTCCCTTGCTTCCATGCCTTTTCCCTGATTGCGACCGCCACATCCTCTACATCAAAGTTGACGATATACCAAGCACCAGTTTTCAATCGGTCATTGAACAGACGACGCTCCTGTTTCGGAGGTCCATGCTGATTGCTTCGGGCTTCCCTGGCTGAGACGTTTCTCCTCAAACGTCAGAGCATCCTCCAAAATCATGTTCGACTTCCTTTCAGCATGGGTGGTTGGTATTATTAGTTTTGTTATTTTCTTACTTTGTTGTAATTCTCGGTCCCCCTTTAGGTCAGGGGAAGAAGATGTTGCTAGTGGCCTACATTGCCCGCACGATGTGGCCTTCTTTCAGGTTTCAGCTCTCATAACTTTTCAGAGCGCTTAATACTGCCAATTATTATATATTTAAAATATACATTCATATTTAAATAAAAAATATTCCAAACAAAATGAAAATACTCATATTTGAAAACAAGAGTGAATTTCATTAAAAAAAAGACAAGATTGAACTCCAACATCCAAACGTTATATTTGAATCCAACAAATAACATAAACATCTAAAAATTCATACTTGAACTTAAGCGTTTAGTATCATTTTGTTGTTGTTGTGGTTGCAGTGGCGTTGTGTAAACAGATATACAACCACAACAGGAAAAAAACAGAAAACACAAACCTGTTTAGTTGATAAATCTGAAAATTCATGAAAGCTGACAACAAAAAACAAAAATGCGTTTAGTTACTACTGTAAGAACTAAAAACCAGAAGAAAGAGATATGTCCTCAATATTAAGCAAAGTCTCACAAAATTCAATTTACCTAACATCTTTCATGTTCCTTACATAAAAAATAATACTAAACATGATTATCACTCCATAACTGGTTAGCAATGGCATCACGCTTCTCGGTCATCTCACGTGTTGCTGCATAGCTAACGTTGAACTCAGTGAGTGGTAGTTCAACCCCAGAAGTCGAACCTTCTTCATCTTCATAATTTTCATATTCATAAAATAGTTTATCATCTTCGGCATGAATCTTGATGAAATTATGTAAGGCGCAACAAGCAATGACAATACTTGTTTGCTTCCTCAAGCTATACGACCGCATGAACTTTAGAATCGGAAACCTTGCCTTTAAAACTCCGAAGCAACGCTCAATCACATTACGCAGACTTGAATGCCGAAAGTTGAATAATTCTTTACGCCCTCTTGGTCCGCCTCTACGCCTCATCTCTTGAAAATGACAGGTAGATCCTCGAAATGGTGCTAGAAATCCAGGGATATGTTGAAAATAAACTAATAAGATCTCACTATCACTCATATTGTATTAATAAATGAATGAAATGTAGATATCATACCTTTTGGTGGCATTGGAAAATCATTATATGGATTTGCGATTGTCTCCATTAGTATTCTAGCATCATTCGCAGTGCCTTCCCATCCTGCTATTACATAAGTAAATAGCATATCAAAAGAACAAACACACAAAACATTTTGTGTTGTTTTTGCTTTTCGTCCTCGATAGGGGATTTGCTCATCAGTTGGAACTACAGCATCAATGTGCACTCCATCTATAGCACCAACAGCATCATGTAAGACAATATACCTATATCAAGATCATCATAATATGAAACACGTGCAATATGAAATAAAGGATAAGAAGTTAACCTTAAAATACGGGTAAAATTTTGAGTTATCCATGATCTGCTTTGGAACCACACCCATATCTGGTGGTTTAATGAGCCTTACTGCAATTTTGTTGACTACTTTCAACACTATGCCAAAGTACTTTGATATAGTGGTTGTGGAATGTTGGAACCTTTCTGCGCCATCTCTAGTGGTCCATAGTGTCCAACAACTTTCATGAATATTGCAACTTGTTCTTCAACTGTCACATTCTTTGTTGATTCCAACCCTCCATATCGTTTTAGTTCCTCACATAGAGAAACAAATGTCCTTTTATCCATCCTTAACTGCTCATATATTCGAATTGGATGTCCACAGAGAATCTCTTGCACCCAATCATGTCCTCTTTTATCTGATGTTCTACAAGGAGTTTTAGAAGACGACTTCCTCCTCTCCTCCTCCATCAATGCTAGCATTATTACTACTAATTTATCGTCATCAGAGTCTGATGATGAATCTGAAAAAGTAGCCATTTATCTGTGTATACAAAGTAAAGTAATGAACATCCATAGAAAAAACATCACAACACATTCATTACACATCATAATCAAATCCAACATTCATACAAATATTCATTACAAACCAACTTCAAACCAAATGATAACACTCCAAAATAGTACAGAACAAGAGAGTTTTACACATAACAAAACAGCCAAAGCATCCATCACATCCAAAGCTGCAACAAATCACGCCTCCTCTCTTCGGACACATTCAAGAACACATTTTGATATTCTTTAGAATCATGGAGACACTTCACAGCTGATGCAAACAAGGCACCATTAACTTTCATCTCATCCAAAAGCTTGACACACTCCATAAGTTGCCCATCATCACTTGGCTTGGAGGAGACTTCACCTCCTCCCACAGATGAAGAAGCCATCTTTTGTGCCTCACGCTCAACTTTCATTTTCTCTCGCTCAACCATGGATGACAACAATGTTCCTATGGACTCAGCATAGCTAATCTTATCTCGCTTTCTTTTTTTCCCCTTGCCTTTGTTTTTGTTCTTATCCTCCTTACCAACAACAGGAGTTGCACCAATTTCTTCCTCTTCACCATCAAGATTAGTTACCTCAACACTTTTGGTTGCAGCCAACTCTTCCTCATTACTACTAGAAGCAGCTTTGGTTGAAGAACGATCATTATTTCCAGAAGCAGTAGTGTCACCAAATATGTAGCACAACTTGTCATATTCAGGACATCCATGCTTTCGGAATCTAAGATGCAACTTTGAACCCTACACCCATTAATAAAATCATCTCAAATTAAGCAAAATGAGTTTTTAACATTCATTTTAATTAGTAGGGTAAATACAATATATTAGCCACAACTATTATGAAGCGGGGAATTATAGCCACAACTATTGAAATTCAAATTATTAGCCAAACGTTAACTATCGGTTAACAA